CCTTTTTTTGATTTACGGTATTTTCTTATTATGATATTTTGAGCTCTTTTGTGTTTAGAACAATATATATATACTAATTTTTAAAGTATAAAATTGAATTTTTGTTCATTAACAATCTTTCAAATGCGACTGGAGCTTCTTTTTCCCAAAACTTTGTCTTCAAAATAAGGGTGCGTCTTATATTCCGAAAAATACGGTACGTTAAAAACGTGTTGTTTATATGAAATTTGTTAATGAATGAGAAGTCGTACTTGGAATAATGCTCTTCCAGTTCTCAAATGAACATATTTTGAACATAATTTTTGTGACGTTGAATAGGCTGATCTGTACTAAATTTGGAATACAATTTCATTAGTTTATTTTAGACATCATTCAATATTACATATTTACATTTTAATTTTTGAAGTAAAATATGTTAATTTCGCGTTTTATTTTATTATTTCTTTCACCATTTTACTGTGTTAAACAAGTTAGGTTTTTTTTAAATGATGCTTTTAAAAATACCTTTACTATATCAATTATGTTTTGTCCCTTACTTTAAACACTACGCCATCTTGATTTTTAACAAACTTGTTGCTAGCCTGGTGACGCCAATGGATACGAAAGATCTTATCTTCCTCATCTTCCCATTCTAGGTATTGACCAAACTTCTTGTCGTTTAAACTTGGCAGTAAAAAATCGTCGGGAAAACGTATTTTTAACAAACTTGTTGCTAGCCTGGTGACGCCAAAGGATACGAAAGATCTTATCTTCCTCATCTTCCCATTCTAGGTATTGACCAAACTTCTTGTCGTTTAAACTTGGCAGTAAAAAATCGTCGGGAAAACGTATTTTTCTAGTTTGAGGCATATCGAAATACATCTGAAAAAACAACAAAACTATTGAGTATGTATTAGTCTGTAAATTTTTTCAACTTATTTTAACCACTATTTGTTATTTACACTGACAGCTATGTACGTATATTTTGTTTGAATTGAATAGTGATTGATTATTACTCTTATAACTCCCTCACAGTTAAAGTGTCAAGTGTGTTCGACGACATCTCGACACAAGCCTTGATCCTATTGACCCGCTAAATATGGGAACGCGCCAAGTTGATGCATAAACTTCATGCAAAAAATCTTGTTGGTTTATGAAAACAATGAATATGTTAAATTATTATTGATCACTGTAGATGATTAATGATCATATTCCCTGAAATCCCATTCAGTGAAGTCGCAAGTTTAAGAATACTCTGAGCCACAGGATTCATTTTCATTAAAAAGTCAAATTTAGTGACAAGAAAAATTAGGAGGGGCAGGTTGACCTTGTGGTAGACCTCTAGATTTCAGAGCTCGCGGCTCGAGTTCGAATTCGTATGATACCATAAATTTTTACCCCCACTTTAAAGTATGGGTGCATTATAGGAGTGAAAGTAAGTTTCTTAGCATGAATGGTAGGGTGATGTTGACTGGCTGCCTTCCCTCTGGTCAGTAGTTCAAAAATGGTCATGACAGCAGATAGCCTAAGTAGATTTGCCATAAATAGAAAATACATATATAAAGAAAAACTGTAAGACTATAATTATCTGATCTATTGATAAGCTTATATAAACCTAAAAAAATTGTTTTCTGAAAATATTCTTGCATTATCACTTGAAATCTAGGCGTTGATGCCAGCCAAATTATATCAAACACCATTGCGTGATGAACTTATCAAAAAACTTGTAAAACTTAATTAAGAACCAATAATCAGCGAATATTTATGCTATATGAAAATGAAATAAACCTTGAACTTATTACAGTAAAGAAAAAACAACAGATTACCAAAACACTAGCACAAAATTTTAACTGCACAACAGTAGAAATCAAGTAAAAGTGAAAAGAAGTCGTGGGATTGTCATCTCAACTCGACTATTGTTGGATTCACTATAGTTATATAAACTACTCCATTGGATAAGAAAGGACTCAAATATATTTTGTAACAACTGTGATTTTACATATACCTATTTTGTTAACCACATGCTGAATTTTTTATCAAGCTGTTAAAAATAAAATTTTAGCCTCTTGGCTATGTCCAATTACTCGAATAAGAGTACACAACCCCTTAAAGTACAGCACAATCACTAAACAAGTTCGGAAATTCGCCTATAGTGCTGGAAGCAAAGCTACCAGACCTCAGATACCACACGGGACATCAAGAGGGAGAATTGTGTGTATACTCCACTTTTACAGTCGGACCAAGGTATCTCATAATCGTTAGGTTATGCACATAAATCATCGTTCTACACACACAAAATATCAACCTTCTCATGCGAATTTGCCCTGGTTTCTGTAACACATTTTTCAATGGCTTGACTTCACAGAAGGTCTATAAAGTAATATGTACACGCTTGCATGAACCTTTTTAAAAAACGAACATTATAGCATATTATCTTTACCATATAAGCAAAAGCACAAAACACATACTTCACATGATTATGGCTTTTAGATGTCGAGCTAATAGCATGTAGAACCTGCATGAAAATTTTAGAAAAATCACATGAATATATCTACTTAGATATATATTCTAGACTAATAGTCATGGAAAGTTAAAATATAATGATATTATAACTCATCACACTTCCTCCTTATATTCAGGGTTTTTCGAGAACCAAACTTTATAATTCACCATTAATGGACACGTTAAACTACAGGTTGGTAAGAATATTCT